TTTTAATAACCTCTTATTGCCGCAATAAACTCTTGCTCAGTACACATCCCTGTAGCAGCTTCTGATGTCCTGTGAAAGCTGTCGAATTGTGTAGACTTTGTTTTCTGTTCCTGCATCTTTCAGTACATTAAGGCTTTGAGTCAAATTCTTTGGTTTCTGTTCTTTGTTCCCAACAGCTTTGAGTTTTGAGTGTTTTAAAAGATTTTCTTAGGACTGAGCTGCTCAAATCTATTCTTAATTGCATTGCTGTTGCTTTCTAATGTTTCCCAAGTAGGATGCTTTAAACAACGTGAGAACAGCTGAGTGCTCCACGTATCTGTTTCGTTGTCTGGATCTACCCAAAATGACGTTTGTTACTTATGGATAGGTTATAACAGAGCTGATAAGACAGCACCCAAAATGCATCCTGGTTAAAACACACCACACCGGGTTTCTAGTTGCTAGCACGCTGCAAAATCTATGCTGTCATGTTTTCCCTTAAACACAGCTAGATCTAGTGAAGTCTCAGCCATCACCACCTCCCCTCTTGTTGTAGGTATATCCCCCCCTAAATAGCCAAGAAGTCTCAGAGTAAAGACAATCACTTGATTTCCAAGTTTTGTGATATCTTCTCTTCCACGCTTCGTTTGCAGGCCAGACTGCGGTGGTGGATGATGACAAAGCATCACGTTCTGTTGTTTTTGAGATCCTTCAGAATGTTGTTATGGGACAAACTACTGCTGAGCAAACGGGGAACAGAGCAGAAAACACTTCAGTGTTCTGTGGCAAAACCAAAGTATTTATGGCTAATTCTGTGGTAAGACTGCTGTTTGCTTGGCTAACCGTTCTGGAGCAATGGGGATTCCAGCACAGATTATCATCTTAGAATCACTGAATGGTTGGGGTTCAAAGGGACCTTAACGCTCATCCAGTCCCAACCCCCTGCCAGCAGCAGGGACACCTTCCACTAGACCAGGTTGCTCAAAGCCTCATCCAACCTGGCCTTCAACACTTCCAGGGAGGAGCAGCCACAGCTTCTCTGGGCAACCTGGGCCAGTGTCTCACCACCCTCACAGCAAAAAATTTCTTCCTTGTATATCATCTCAATCTACTTTCTTCCAGTTTATAACCACTGCCCCTTGTTCTATCACTACCTGCCCTTGTAAAAAGTGGTTTAGGGATACTCCTGCTAATGCCAGTGTGACCAGAACTGGGCATTTTCCTTCCAATTATTTAACTCAAACATCCATCAGAATGCAGCTACCAGAAGCACTTTGTTTAATGGCATCCTTGTTGCTAAGGGACAAGGAGCTGCCCTTGTGTCTAGTGTTGGCAGCGTCCTCCCAGTTCCAGGAAAGATGACAGCTCTGCATAGCTTCAGCTGACAGGCCTGGCTCTCTGACAGGCCTAAGCAGCTTCTTTAACGAAGGAGACAAAGGTACTTCTGTACCGTTTGCATACTGGAGGATGCAGCCATAGAAGAACCCCCTTCAATGGAGCCAGTCATAAGCCAGCTGCTACTGTGACTTTGGAAACAACCACTTTCCCCCACCCACACACCAGTCTCTTCTCCCTCAGATACTTACATTTTCATTTTATGTTAGCTAATAAGCACTAATGAAGCACTCTCACTTCTAAAACCCAATCCAGCCATCTTAGGACACCGAAACGTGCATGAGGTTTTTCTGACAAACACCAGGAGACTGTAGAAGAGGGAAGAGTTGTGAACACAACTCCATCCCTGAGTATTAACTGCAGGTTCGTATCCCCAATGCAGCTGGAGCAACTTGAAGCTAGAAGAGCAGAGGTGTTAAACGAGAAAGCATTTTGCATTCAGTGTTGCTGGAGAAGATTTAAACAGAAGAAACTAGCGAAGGAGAGATGGTCTGCAACTGTCATCCAAGCAGGTAAGTTGATAAGGGTGTGGCTGAACATAATACAACAAGTCAGATTTCCAGTTACACTGGATGTTTAAAGTGGCAGGAGTGGTTAATTGGACACAGGGAAAGTGTAAGTGCTGTCTCTCTTTCTTACACTGTGTGCAAGAGCTTCTGAGATTCTTTGTACTCAGATTTCTTTTCATTAAATCCTCAGCTGTTCGTTCCTGGTTAGCCAAGAATCGCTTCCAAAGGATGCGCAGAGCTGCTGACGTTATTAAACGTGGCTGGAGGAAATGGAAAGTAAGTACGTTGGTGCAGAAAGCATTGAAATCAAGTGACTGAGGGTTTTTAGTGTTTGAGAAAGAATCTACTGAAGTAGCTGTACAAAACCAATACTGTATTCCCCAGAAAATGCTTCTCTAGCTGAAGAGCAGAATATGTCTGCCAGTCTTGTACAGCTGCTTCTGCAGGGTGGCAGCATAGAGACCACAGAATGAACTCGTTCCTTACCTTCAGAAAATGGGAAAATGTCCCAGAGGGTGTCCTCTCTCTCTTCTTTAGCCTCTTAGTTTTGCAGTTTTAAATTTTGTTCAAGATGTTTAAGAATCTTGTTCAAGAATACTGTTCTGCCTCTCTTCATCAGGCAAAGATGGCTGCGTTAGCAGCCGCAGAATTGGATGAGGGTGAAGAAAAGCCGTTCTTGTCAGTTCCTGGAGCTACGGCGATCTCAGCCAAACCACCCTGCTCTTTGGAAACAACTCGGCCTCTTCATGCAGTAATTCAGTTCTGGCCTCTTGGCCTTGTCCTGGCTGCTGCACCCGTTACTGTAACGGGACTTCGGAGAGACCTGTCCCTGCTGGCATGTCTCAGAGTACTTCAGGAGAGCGACTGCTACAAGGTGGAAAGCTGTTTCTTTGGCTGTGGCATCACTTCCATCAGAGCTCTCCCACAGGTAACAAACCTCGCGCGCTCAGGTCAGCAGCACAATACAACTGCCGTGCGCTTGGGAACCTGAGCAGAGCAGCTGTGGAGTCTGCTCTCAGCTACAGTCCTCCTTTTGCCACTGGCTTAGACATGCCAGAACGACTCTGACATCAACAGGTCAAGCTAGACACAGGGCTGAGTTCAGACTTTCAGCTAAGAGTGAGAACTCATCTCCGTCATAGGAACAAACTGATGGAAGTTCTGATTCGGAGATGGAGGGCAGAGGGTTGTAACACGGGCTCTGCTATTAGGCACTACGTATTTTTTCTCCTTAGGGGATTCAGGTCACACAACAGATGAACATGTGAAAAAGCATCCCCGTGGGGAAAAGCCACAGGGTATGTTAATAATACCCAGTAACTCTGTATTAACTTCACCGTGCAGACAACTGCACACATCACTTCACATAGAGGATTTCAGGGCAGAAAGTGGGGAGCAACCCTCAAGTACTTAATCTCCTTCCTACACACATGCAGAACAGTCGTAGATACCATTTGCTACAAACAAAGCACAACCCACACTGGCTTCTCTCAGAAATTGCACTCAGGTCACACATCACCTCGTGCCTCTGCTTGTGTTTTTTGGTTGATAAGTTTTTGAGCTTGCATAAAGTTATGTGTGCAAGAATGTAGCCTGTACCTGGTCAGTTACTACAAGCAGGAAGAAGCAAACCCAAGCTCAGTAGTGACCAAGTTCTCAAGTCTTCAGAGTTTAAGCTAATTTCAGTTCACAGTACAGCACTGGTACTCTCTGTAGTAATAATGTCTCTTAAATCCATTTATACTAGGACTCCCTTGGAAGTCTTCCTCTGTTCCTTACTCATATTCACTAGTTGCTTACATACTCAAGCACTACTTCATTTGAATAGCAAAATTAGCTCAAAATCTGGCAGAACCATCACCTGACCTCTCCACTTCTTTTTCTCGAAGGGCTCTATCAAGTTTCACTGTAAGAAGTCTCCCCTGCATTACGCAAACGTCAGCCCCCGTACGGATGCCTGCTCCATCACTGGATTTAACCAGATTCTACTGGACAGAAAAAAACTCCTTCCAACATAGCTCTGCCCTCAGCACGTACTGTACCTTCTCCTTCAGGGAAGGACTGTCTGCAAGCTGCTGCTTTCAAATTACTCAACGTCCATATCTGCTGCTACCTCAAAGCTTCCTATATTGATGCATTGTATGGATAATATACTTCAAATTCAGAATGTAGTGGGGGTGCATTCCTCCTCCCACACACACGCACATACTAGAGAAAATACCAACACTAAGAGAACACTCAACTGCAACACAGAAATTAAATAGAAATCAAAACAGATCAAGCGCTTTCAGCAATACATACTTGAACTGAACACTTGTAGCACCGCCTGGGAAGCAAGAGGCTGGCAGTGAGAGAGCAGGTAAGGCAAACACACATTTCTGATGCACGCTGGGAGGTACAACTGCTCTGACTGACTGACCATGAGTGTTCAGTAACATTGTCATGTTCTGTCTGTGACCCAGGAAGCGAGCAGCAGTCGGCTGTAACGCTGAGGGCAGATGTCTCAGGGAGAAGCCAGACTGGACTCTTGCTTTTTATCTATAGGACCAAACCACGTGTGTTATCACAACCTCCATCCGTTTCCAGCACTCCCTAGTCAATAGTGTCACCTCTGCCAGGGGACCAGGGTTCTCAGGGACTCTGTACCACTGCTCACCTGGCTCTTGACAATGTTCAGCTCTTCTGTGTGTGCTACTCTTAAATAAACTGTTAAACACCTTGTAAAAAATAAAGCGTCTGCCCATCCGCAACAAGGTTCAGGTAACAAAAACATTTCAGATGAGTTTGTGGATTAAAATAAATGCAAATGTATTTAATATTATCATTAAGAAGCAACGTTTCCTAGAGTTAACAGTATTTCTTTCCCACAGAAAGCAAGTCCACAGCATACCAAGTTTAATTCCTAGTACCTAGAAACCTGTCCAACGTGACTGTGACGCTGTTTAGCAATTCTAAATGGAAAGTTACAGCGCTGACATCCGTGAGCAAAGCGTGACCAGAGCTGGAGGGAACACACAGATGGTGCATCCCAGCAGCGCGAGGTGCTGCTGGATCTCTTCTGTCAGAGGCAAAAAAACCCCAAAAATCTCAAGGGAAGAAAAACGCTCCCAAAGTAGCTCACTGGGGAAGAACGTTCTCCTTCTCCGGGGGTTCGACGATTCTCAAACAGCAGTCTGCAAACTCAACAAACAGCGGCTCCTGCATGTACTTCTTCATCAGGGAACTTTTGTCTTCTGCTTGGTCGACCGTCAGCAGCAGCTGCCTGAGATGTGGGTTCAGAAGCAAGTTCCTCAGTTCTTCTGATTCCCCTTAAGAACAGCAAAGAGAGCAGAGCAGAGCAGAGCTCGTCACTCGGCTGCAATCGCAGCGCAGACCGAGACCGCCCTCGTGTTGCACATACACTGTGGAGGGGACGCGCTGGAAGGACGGGTACGTGACACTGAGTGTGCGAGGCCCCGCAGGGGGGTCACAGCCAGTGTCCC